TTTTGTAATTGTCATCTTGTATTAACAATAGAAAAATTATTTAAAGAAAAGAAACGAAGTAGTAAAAGTGATAAAAATAAAGTTAAAATGCATGCATATGAATATTTATTAGATACAAATAGATTTAAAAACTTATATATGAAAACTGAATGGCCAATAGAGTTAAAACTCCGTAATAGTAGTGTTAAATTTTATCCACTTTCGACCCCAAATAAAGAGCAACTCCCAGTGGTTAACTTTCACCATTATTCCATTTTGTTTGGCGATAGAGTGCCAGCCAACGTCAATAATATTATGATAATATTAGCTCCTAGATTGTTATTCAAAAATGGCAATCATTTTTGAAGTGGCTGTACTTGGAGCTCTATTCAATAAAACTTTTGGTAAAGTAAAGTGTCCACCCCATTGTGGAAAGATAGATCAAAATAAAATAATGCCATGTTTGGCTAATGCAATAAATGTAATAAATCTAATGACGGTTGAACAATATTTGTATTTTCTATCTGTTAGAAAGAAAGTTGATTGGAAATAAAATAAAAGATGAAAGATAAAGCTTGCATAGTATTGTGGCTAGGAGATAGTTTGAAGGAAACCAAGAAAACCCTACCCGGTGATAATAGGTAGTAGTTGGGCCGATTCATAGAAGGAAAACTTTGAAAACCCGTCCGGCAATAGACGTAAAATTTTTCTCATTCTGTGTGTTTTTAGCATCAATCATAAAGGATAGTAGCGCATCCTAACCACACGCCGTTAAAAAAAAATGTATTATATAATCTGAGAACTATCAACAAAAATATTAATTTTATTTGGGTTAAAGGACACTGTGGCCTCACTGGAAATTAAATTGTAGATCAAGAAGCTAAGGCTGCCTGTAGGATCGATGTATATATCAAAGTCTCTTCATTGCCTGATATCGTCAATTCACATAAGAAAAACATAAGAAACAGATGGATAAGCCATTACCATGATGTTTCTAAAAATTCAAATAGTCATTATTTTCAACTTCATAGGCAACTTCCTAATAATATTCCTCATCTCAACAATTTTGGTTTACCTAAAAAATATACTTTTATTCTATCACGTCTCAAATTAAATCATGGACGGTTTCCTGCCCATTTACATAAAATAAAAATCATAGACTCTCCCACTTGTACTTGCAATAATAAGTCGGTTGGAGACGCCAATCACCTTTTCTTTGAATGCCAAAATTACCGTCAAGTTGGGTGACTTGAGACTGCCTGGTGACTTGAGACAAAACTTTAGGTATTTATGAGAAGGGTTGGCAACACCGCAGATTGTACTGGAATTCATTTTCCACGCGGTATTCATTCACGACAAGTCTATGCAAGTTGTTTTTATAGTTTTTGCTGGTTAATTAAGAAGGTAAGTGCGGTTTTAGTATTTTATTGTAAGAATAGGGTTTGTGGGATTTATAGGTATGTTAAAAAACTTTATGTATGTAGTCCAAACTGACAAATTTATGGGAATGGTCATATTTTACATTGATGTTAGTGTATATGGGAAGTAATTATTGATATATACATTTTTGTTAACATAAACAGTTTTTTTGATTTATATAAGAAAATAAAAAATGGGATTTATAGGGGCGAGTTGAGACGTGTATCAAGTCACCCCAGGGGTAATTTGAGACATGTCTCAAGTCACCCTAATTAAATAATACGTGTTCATTTTGCAGGTATTTACAAGAATGGGTCGATACAAAAAAAAAGTAGGCGCCAACTATAGAAGATATGACGAAAAAGATTTAGAACTTGCAGTAGCTGAAAGAAATAGAGGTGTTTCATTGAGAAAACTTCAAAGGAAATATGGTATTTCAAAGGATACGATAGATCGAAGAGCAAAAGGACGTCATATGAAAAAGGCAGGTGGACAAACTGTTTTCACGTCAGAGGAAGAAAAGAAGATGGTGGATAACATTCAGTTAGCCAGTGTCTGGGGGTTTCCACTAACATCTATTGATGTAAGGTACTTGATTAAGTCGTATTTAGATAGTTCTGGTAGACAGGTATCAAAATTTAAAAAGAATTTGCCAGGAAGAGAATTTATGAGAAAGTTCATTGAAAGGCATAAGGATATACTCTCACAACGCTGGTGTGAAAATATAAAACGGGCACGGGCAAGTGTTAACAGGGAGGTAATAAATAAATATTTTGACGAGCTGGAAGTAAGTTTGCAAGGGGTTGAACCAAATGCAATGGTCAATTATGATGAGACAAATATAACTGACGATCCTGGAAAAACCAAGGTACTTGTCAGAAGAGGTGCAAAACACGCACATCGTATAATGGACAACTCTAGAAGCAGCCATTCCATCATGTTTGCAGGATCCGCATCGGGTGAACTTTTGCCACCTTACATAGTTTATAAGGCCGAAAATTTGTATAAAACTTGGACAGAAAATGGCCCTGCTGGTGCTAGATACAATAGGTCAAAGAGCTCCTGGTTTAATGAAGCGATTTTCGAGGATTGGTTTAAATCTACGGCGTTACCGTATTTTAAAAAACTCCCCATTGAGTCGCCAAAAGCTGTAATAGGCGACAATCTTGCCAGCCATATTTCACAATCCGTAATTGACTTATGCAGAAAATATAATATTCGATTTATCCTGCTACCTCCAAACAGTACCCACATCTGCCAACCCTTAGACGTAGCATATTTCAGACCACTCAAAAGCGCATGGAGAGATGTTCTTTTAAATTGGAAATTGAAGCATCGGGGGGTAGTAACGAAAGATACTTTTCCCAGACTGCTAAAAAATTGTTTGGATCAACTTGATGTAGACAACAAGACATCAGCAAATCTCATAGCTGGATTCCGTGGAAGTGGAATTTATCCAATCAACAGAAACAAAGTACTAGATAAGTTGCCACCGAGCTTAGAACAGCCAAATGATGAAAACAATTTTGTAGTGTCAATAGATAATGCTTTTCAAGTCTTTTTAAGCAATCTATATACGAAGGAAACAGTAACCGGTACGAGGAAAAGAAAAAAAATTCTAATCGAGCCTGGAAAGAGTGTTGAAAATACTACTCTAGAGAGTGTTGAAAATACTACTCTAGAAGAAGTAGAACAGACGGTAAATGAAAATGGAGTCCATGGAAACCAGGAAGAAATTGAAGAAGAGCTACCTGATTTTACTCAATTTAATAACCCGACACCGTCAACATCAAAAGCAAAACCTATTATTTCTCGAAAAAATAAAAAAAGCGTAGATTCCTCCAGTGACAGTAATGATTCCTTTTCCACGCAATCGTCATATGATAGCCCTGAAGATTTTGAAGAAGACGTGGATATGGTTGATCCTTCGGATATAAAAGTTGATGACTTTATTTTGGTGCAATTTTCATATGAGGCTCCCCCATAAGCCAGCTATTTTGAAGAAATTCATTGGACAAATTATTGAACTAAAGCCGGATTTAGTTTTGTGTAAATTTATGCGCAAATCACCACAAGGAAAAAATATTTACGTATTTCCAGATATTGAGGACGTCACAGATATTAATAAAAATCAAATTCTGTCAAAGCTGGTTCCTGTGTTTGTTCGACGAGGAAGATTTACTTTTTCTATTGAACTTTAAAAACCTGGCACAATTGTTTAAAACATTTTTTTTTTCGTTAAAATGAGTTTTTTATTTGTTTTTTAAGAGTTGTTTTATTTAGATTAGTTTCTACCAAAGTTTTTCAAGTTCCTACTTATTTTTTAAGAATTAAAACTTTAGTTTTGTATTAAAAATGTAAAATGTTTAAAATAATTATATTTTTCCAAATAAGAGTTGTGTTTATGAAATAATATGTTCTATTACGTTTTTAAAGACTATTAATGTCTCAAGTCCGCAAATTGACGGTCCGTCTTGAGTTTATAATGAAAACAAATTACTGTCTCAAGTCACCGCCCCTGTGAAGCTGACTTGAGACACCCAAAAAAACAAAAAAAAAATATTTTCTGATAAATTTTAGGTCATTTTTATTATTGAATTTTGAAGAATGTATGTAGACTCAAAAATGTGTCCTTGTTTCATAATTTTAATTTGCTGGAATACAATTTTACAGTCCTTTGAATTTTGAAACTGTCTCAAGTCACCCAACTTGACGGTATGCATTACAAACATCTGGGCTATATAAATCTTTAATCTCTCTCAGTTTTCCTCTACCAGTAAATTTGACATCCCTTCTGACAAGCACCGATAAACATATCCTCGATATTTTAATTACATTTTTATGCGATACTAAGCTAGATATTTGAGACACTACTTCTCTTATTTCTTTCTTTTCTGTATTCCGTTTTTATTATTTAAACATTCTGTGGCAAATGGACACCGTCCGAAGCCATATCTCTCACACAAAAACACAAAAAAACAAAAATGGTAAATATCGCAAATTACCGGTTCATCGCTTTAACCGGTTAGGTGCCAGTGTCATAGTTATAGAACACTCAACTTTTTATTTTTTAAATTTTTGTCAGGTCTATAATAGGTAGCCGTTTTCTTAATGGATGCATAAAAAACTTATATATGAGACTGTACTCAATTTTTTTTATAATCAAAACAAAGATATGTTAATAGTTACATATTCTTTAAAATGCCTCTGCAGCACCAGTTAAAGACATTATTTTATAATCTAATATGAACTAATGTTTACTTTAGCTATCACATTACATAAATATAATTCACATTATGTATATATTTTTTTCTATGATCATCAAATTTTACCTGTCCTAGATTTAGGACGCTGGTATTTACCAATAGTAAAAAGCTATATCGCCCGGTACTGTCTGGTTTGATTACGCGACGCGATGATGTGTCAACAACAATTATAATAAGTAGAGGGGATCTGGTAGCAATCTATAGTATTGGCATTTGGAAGATCGCAGTGCGTTAGATGACTTTGCATTGTATCGTCGTCAGTTGTTTTCTGTTTTCGGGCGCATTTGAATAGTTAGTTTAGTATTTTATTGTTGTTCTGAGATATTAGCTGCCATTATGAGTCGCAGCAAAAAAGCTTTAACTTTAGCAGAACTTGACGAGATTATGAACGATCCAAGCTTTATGAACGATGTTGAATCGGCTGATATTGTTGTTCTTCCACCTGAAGTAGACTATCTCACAGACGAGGATGAAGCTGATGAAAATCTGTTGGGTGTTGTTGATGTACACGATGTTCCAGGTGAGCTTGAATTACAATTAACAGTGTCGTCTCAATTAGAAAAAAAAAATGACTTAGGAAAAGCACAGGACATTTTTTCACAAGAGCTCCCAAACGAGACGTATCTGGTGCAAAAAAAATGCGACTTTTTACTAACATTTTACCTACTGGTACTCAATCTTACACAAAACTTCTACCCGAAGGTAATGAAGTTTTTGCGCGGTTTACGGAGATGCAAAATAAACTTGCTAACGAAGCACTGGTTAAAATTTTTAAAAAAATATTTGAAGATATTTTTGATTATGTAACAAGGGAAACTGTACGATATGCATCAGCTGCAAAAATGACACTGGTTTTACTTTGTCATCCAAAGATATAAGAGCATTTCTGGGAATATTACTATTCTCAGGTTATCACAAACTACCTTCAGAAAACAATTATTGGCACGAAGAAGAAGAAGAAGACTTGGGCATAGATATAGTAAATGCTTGTCACAAAACAAATACCTAAAAATAAAAAAATGTCTTCACTTCGTTGTCAATGATCAAGCGACAGATAACAAAAAAGTTAAGGGTTCTAAAGTTAGGCCCCTAATAAAAAAGATTAACCTAAGTTTTTAGCAGTGGGGAATTTTTGTAAAAACTTGTCAATCCATGAAATTATTGTATAGTATTTTGGTAGACGCGGGTTAAAACAATTCATACGCGAAAAGCCAATCCAATTTGGGTATAAGTTTTGGGTTTCATGTGGATCTAATGAGTACTGTTTTAAATTTGATTTGTACTGTGTGTACTGTAATGAAGCAACAAATGGAGATCTAGCTTTAGATTCTCTAGTAGTAGTTGTTTGCCAGCAGGGATTTACTACTACATTTGCAGCGGCAAGGATTTCGCTCGTAACAGGTACTTTGAGAGAGAATAAACTTGCAAAATGTCCCTTAAAAGCAGGGTTTTATTAGTAATTATTTTTACCTTCTAGAACAATAAAAGTAATTATCAAAAACATGTCCTTACTTATTTGTGGCTTACCCTGTAAAGGAAAATAATTTTTTACCCCTTTTTATATTCGTAGAATACCAAAAGATGTTACAATAAGATTTGGTACAAAAAATTATAATCGATTAGATTTCTCCTGAAATAACCGTTATCAAATAAGTGGTATTTCGTAAGTTTAACACCCTGTATCTTAAAAACCAGTCGTAGGATTTGAATGTTCCCATGGACACTATTGCTTAAGAGGTCGAAAACTACAACTTATAAAAGACGTTTAACAGATCGCCACTTTTCCATAAGCGGTGTGCGGGAATTTTTTGCCAGACATGTTCCACGTAACCATTCAGTCGAGATGAAAGTTGCCAAAATCCACCAAAAACCTGTAAACTCTCTTGAAAGAAAACAGTTATTTGCTGCGTTACGAAAAAAAAAAATACTTACGGAATGTAAATAAGCAATTTAAGCCCATCAGAAAACCTGTGTTAGCTAACAAAAATTGTTACCATGCAGTAATTGTTTAGGAATGTACGTTGCTAAACAATAATATCGACATAAAAAATGTGGTAATAATAATAATAGCAAGAATTAACAGGGGTCAGGACTGAATTAATTACGTTCCCATTTAAAAATAGATAAACATTTGCGAGACACTGTATTCCCAAAAATAAGAGGGGACGATATTTCATTTGCAACAAAAAAAGATCGTGTTATTGGCGCATTTGGATCTCGTTATCTAAGAATTCACAGAGAAAAACAGTTTGTGAATGTAATCTCAAGAAAAATGCGAGAATTGGCTAGTCCTAATAGAAACTAGGAAATTTTTTATTTGTTTGATGTTTTGTAGCCTGTAAATTTTGAAACTGTCAAAGTTACTGCAAAATATGATCCTCAGAAAGATACATTCGAATCTCCTACATTTGCTATGAGCATTAGCACAAGCCAAAAGTAATGTTGTGATGTTGCATTAAATTTTGCTCTTAAAAAGCAATACGTTTATGCCAATCTTCAAACTGCCGAAGCAGAGTCTAATTTAAAACAATGAATCGTCTTTTAAATGCAAATTGGCGATTCGAAGTTTGTCATAAAGTGGTCAACGATTTAAACCTTCAAAGTTGGAATAAAGTAACAATTGTTCCATTTGGTAGCGATATTAAACTTTTGATGGGCTATTTAATTAAAAATGCCACCGATGCAATTATTGAAGAAAATTCCTCCAATAGTTCAAGCGCTTAGAATGTATTATGGGAGACAATATTTTGAAGAGTATTCATTCTGAATCGGAAGTGTCCAGGAGAGCTAGAAAGAATGTATTTAAGTACTTATGTATCCTCTGATTCTGATTAAAAAGAATTTGGATCGATTATAACACCAACAGAAAAAAATTCTTCTTAATCGCCATAAAAGAGTCGTAATTCGGGGTGAAAGGGGTCGCGGTGTACCTGTTCAATTTAGTGCAGACGTACAGGGACACATCGATATCCATTTATGAAAACGAAAACATTTTGTTTCGGATGTATAATAAACCTTATTTTTATTACTATTTTATTACTCATCTTAAATCATTTCATGTAAACTATGTTAATTAATTTTAAATGAAATAAATCTGATTTTAATATAGAATCGAATTTAATCGGTGTTAAGAATAATAATACATAAATGAAACGTATCGAATGAATGTCTATGAAAGAATGCCGTGCTAATCACCAAATATTCTTATGTGTCCCAGTTCGACGTATCGTTCTACGAAATATGAGTAGCACTCGTGAATCATGACAGGGTGGTCCTAGCCTAGCGATAAACGAAACATCCGAGTGGTTACAGTCGGCTAACCTGATAAATTTTCGCGTCCTCGCGAAGAGTAATCTGTAACATACAAAACAAACAAAATATTAATTAAACTGAAATTAATGAATGTGAGCGCGAATATTTCTATAACAAATATACGGCTCCACTAGTATCGCTTTCCGAAACTTTCGTAACAGTTTCATTTTATCTGAAGGACAAATGCCCGTATAAGCTGTCCTACAACGTTTGGACCCTGGCAGTTCGTCAACCACGTACCGATCGTCATCGAGTACGTTCCTAACTAGGGTCCTTTACAAAGGCTCAAGCTTCCTGCTTCGTCCGTCATTGGAGCCTTTATTTGCTTGGCCAACCTTCAATTTTCTTAACTGGGCATGCTCATTATCGTAACACATATTTTGGTACCTCTGCGCATCCTATCGGGGTTATGATGGACAAGCAATGCTATTTCTAACAGACAGGCCACTTGTAAACATATTGTTATTTCTATGTGTTTACAAAATAACAGACCTGTCAAAAACAACACAAGTTGTCAATCATAAACCCCTTTATCTTTTCAGAAAACTTATTTCTGATCATTTCCAAATCTGGACATTCGTTATCGTCACAGACTTCAGCCGTCAAACATCATTAACTCATCCAGGACCATCGAGATAGAATGAAGTGGAGACGACATAAACACTTTTTTGCCTTATAACAGATGAACGCACTTCGAGTAATGGAAAAGTATAATAAAAATGACGACTTAAGAGTCGTACGTTGATTTATTTGAATTCAATAATTTTATGTTTGAAGATTGACGAAACGAAAATGTTTTTATATCACTTAATTGAAGTTATTTTACAAAAAGGCATTTATTCTCACCAACAGTGACTAGTATCGTGATAGTATCTCCTCTTCGTTCCATCTCAACATCCAAATAGTTCGAAGGGAGTTTTCCCTGTAGTGGAATTAACCGTCAAATTAATTCCCCATTTTACATCTGCTACAGCTTCGTCTAACGATTTTCGTCATTAGTTGAAGCTATAACTGTTCATTCGTTCTACTTGGCCGTAAGCCCGATGAGTCGAAGTAGTACATACTACATGTTTAACACCTAAAGTCAAACATACCTGTTTAACACCTAAAGTTAAATATACTTGTTTAACACCTAAAGTCAAACATACCTGTTTAACACCTAAAGTTAAATACACTTGTTTAACATCTAAAGTTAAACATCTCTGTTTAACACCTAAAGTTAAACACACTTGTTTAACACATAAAAACACACTTGTTTAACACATAAAGTTAAACAGTATTCCTTCAAATTCTTGCTCGTAAAATCAGTGTCACGGTCGCAATAAACCTGCAGGAACACCGAACATTTTAAATTCATCTATAAATTTCAGTTTTGTATTTTTGTATCACTTTTAAAAATACAAATTTCGTTAAGCCGTTAACTGCTATGATGAGATATGAGTTTTTCCCAATACTCTTATACAAATTTCTTAAAGCTGATAATCGATATGATCAGATACGAGTTTTCCTAACACTTTTATACAAATTTCCTAAAGCCGTTAATTGATATGATGAGATACGAGTTTTCCTAATACTTATGCAAATTTCTTAAATCCGTTAATTGGTATAATAAGATACGAGTTTTCCTAACACATACAAATTTCTTAAAGCCGTTAATTGATATGATGAGATACAAGTTTTCCTAACACATATACAAAATTCTTAAAGCCGTTAATTGATAAATGACCTATCATGCGGGTGATGCAATTTACTAACATTAAAATTATTATAAACCATCTCTTTCCTTTTGCTGTTTTTTGAAAGTCGTCTATTCTTTATACAATACTCTTTATAAATTTGTCGTTCGTCTTTCGTAATTTATCTCTAGGATCTCGTGAGAAAACATTCATAATATTGTTACAAGCGTTGTCTTGAAGTTGTGGATAAAGTATCCGGTTAGCCTTCTTAATATTTACCATCATTACGTCAAGTGATTGATCCGTGGGTATAATAGTACTTCGGCTCAGAAAGTCTACGTGGCTGATCTTAGTGCCAACATAGTATTCAATACCAAAATCGAATTCTTGACTTGATAGCCACTATCTTACGATGCGGAGAATTAAGTCTCGTTTCATACGGGTGTTACGAAGTAAGTTACAATCGGTGACGATTTTAAACTTTATGCCACTTAAATATATACTGAACTTTTTAAACGCGCATACAGCCATCAAAGTTTCAAGCTCATGAATGATATTTTTGCTCTTCGTTGGTTGTGACTCTACTAAAATATTATACTAGCCTAAAGTGCTGTCATTTTATCGTTATAGAAGTATTGCTACTGGTCCGACGTTACTGATGTCACAATGTTTTTTAGTTTTCACTTATCTGTTATAAATAGCATGTATGTATCGTTACTAGCTTCTTTATTTTTAAAATCGCTGAATTTCTTTGACATCTTTAGGTGCTGCAAAATCTACTACCGTGTCCTTGGTGTGTCGTCTTCAATTCCGATTTGGGCGTCCTTTGCGGGTGTTTCCTCATCCTGTCTCTTTCTAGGGGTCTTTCATCCTCCTCTCCGGTATGGGTCTTCATCCTTCATCCACCGGTCTTCATCATCCATTCTCCCTTGTAGGTCTAAATATTTTGTTCCTAATCATTTGTAATACAGCAGGAGCATTTACCAAATCAAAAGTCATGCAGTATGAACCGTACATTACAGTTTTGCTATCGTTTAATGTGATCAACATTTCCGTAACAGTCATTTTAGCAACCTTTCGTAAACTAGTAGCGAAACAATCCCCATACTCGTTAAGTAATTTAGAATGTTCAATTCAATTGAATACTGAATTAGTTTGTTTCTCAAGATCGAATAACGTAAAATTTGGTAATACAGCAATATCTGTTGCTTATCAAGTTTGAGATGGTAACTATCTTCGAAACTCTGGTACAGGTATAACCTCTAGCAAGTATTCTATCTTTTTCGTAACAAACAGATTTAGCGGACATATTGGCAACATGAATACAGCAACAATTATTTGTGTTAATAACAAAAAAAACGGTAAATTATGAAAATTATTATCTTACTTTCTATATCTTAAATCAACAAAAACATCTTAGATCTACAAAAATATCTTAGATCAACAAAAACATCTTAGATCTATAAAAATATCTTATATCAACAAAAACACCCTTAACGTTTTCATTTTTAATTAGCCCTACAAAATTCTGCGGAATGATAGTGGTTTCTTCTACACATAAATTAATTTTCTTAGACAAAGACTCGTTAATATGTGTAACGTTGACGTTATTTTAAAATAAAATATGTCATACTTGGTTGCATCTAACGATAACTGTAACCATATCATTATTTAAAAATGGCTAACCTACAATAACAGGGACATCCTGTATATTAACCGGTACGTCATCGGTAACAGTAGCTAAATCAACATTCAAAGTTGTCGTAACCTTTGAAAGTACTATAACAAAATCTCCCGCATAACCACACAAACATAATAATGTGGGCTGACCCTGTAGATGCAACTTGACTGCATCCGATTCACGAATTGTAACTGCATCACAACCCGAGTCTACAAAGCCTCGTATATATTCACTACTAATAACACAATCAATAAAATAGCAAGTACTAGACGCCTGATTATTAGATAAAATTAAAATTGGTTTCGACTCACCCCTATTTTGTCATCAGTTGGTCTTTTACTTACATTTATGCACAACGTCTTGCTTCGTGTCCTAACCGATAGCATTTTGTGCATTCAACACGTGGTTTCGTACACTCTGACTGAAAATTACATTTACTTTTACATTTAAAACATCAGGTTTTGTATACGGTTGTACTCGAAAGTGAATAACCTAACTCCACTTTCAGGAACGGCTTTATCAAACCCTCTGTTTTTTTTTTTGAGTCGATACTTCAATGATACTTTCCTTACGTAGCATTAACAGGTATCCTTCAAACAATGCCTCTGGTTTTGCGTAACGACCAGCGCGAGCAGCATTTTGGATGGTGACTTGGGATTTCGTCTTGACATTCTCTCTATTACTGTTTCCAACTGTCTAATTTTAGCTTCGTTTGTAACACAAACTTTGTTAACTGGAACAGGAATCTAAACCATGAGCTGTGCTTTGTAC